CCCTGACATGAAGAGCCGGTGGGCTTCTGTGCTTTTATATGCTTTGAGAGACTCTCAGAAAAGTGAGAGGGTTTGTTTATGAGAGAAATATAAATGTCAGGAAAACACAAATTTGGTAGCTTTCCACCAGTTTAAGTGGGACCAGGAGGTCAGGGGGAACCTGTATAAGGATTGCAGCCTATTTTATCAACTCTGTCAAGGTAACGTTTTTTCTCTTTCAAAGTAAGGTGAGTAATTTTACCCATCTTTCACCTCTAGTTATGTTCATGCAGAGCAGCGAAGCCAGAAATTCGGTCCCAAATATGGCGGCCACGACAGAAAAATCACATGACTGAAACCCTAGGATAGGATATGTACCTTTTGTGACTTTCGTCCTAAGAAACCTCCAAATTTATCCGGACACATCCCCCTTGTCCTCCCTTCCCTTGTTTTGTGCTAGTGAGTTGTATCATCATCGCTTTCACATAGTTAAGGCCTTGTGTGTGTGTGTGTGAGCAAGTGAGTGAGTGTTTCCAGACAGGATGTTATGGCATTAAACCACCTGGCCCTGTTGGCAGAATTCTGACACATAACAGAAAGGAACAGGTGCACAGGTACAAACACTTTATACACACACACACACACACACACACACACACACACACACACACATACTGTGACAGGTGCAGAAGTTCAAATTTCAACATTTCATTCATTCTTTCTCTCTCCCCATCCTCTGTATGAACGAATCTTACCAATAAAGACTTCAGGCCGAAGCTCTGCTGCATTACAGATACAAACAGAATGAGACATTATATTAAAATAAATTATATTTTACATTAAAATAAATAGAGAGGAGACCATAATAAATGCATTAATGAAAGTCATTTGAATTCTGCTATTTAAAGTGCAGCCATTACTGACACAGGTGCCAACTGCACACACAGCTTTTATAATCTCTGTAGAAAAGCATCAAGCAATAGAATGAGACACTGTAAAGCACATGAGCCTAAGGTCACCATGCCCAATGCCAAGCCTCAGCTGGGGGGGGTATAAAGCCCCCAGCACTGGGCTGTGGAGCAGTAGAACCGCACTCTCTAGAGTAATAGAGCTCCATCTATTAGCTTTGGGGGTGAGTTAGAGTGGTCAGCTCGTGTGGCTGAATGTTCCAACATCTAGTGTAAGACCCTACTTTTGTTAATAAAATATATCTATGTCACATCTATAACAACTGATCAAATAAATGAGGCATGATTGAACTAATCAAGGTCAAGTACTGTGGTAAAAATATTCTAAAAAATCTACACTGTTGATTAAGTGTAGCAGCAAAGTTGACACAAAACTGTTAATTAACTGTATTTATGCATATACTTCTGTATATATGCAAAGTACAAAGTCAGTATTGAGAGTTTATCTTTTTGAGATACGTTGTTTAAAATAATTAGGCCATCTCAGCTCCTTAAACAGAAAGCACAGCATCAGGCTTGGACAGGGGACTGGGCAGGCAGGAGGCGGGACAGACAGTGTCTGAGGTAGATGCTTCAATCAGTTTTTACATATAGAGCCAGAATGGTGTCCAGTGTTGTGGTGTGTGTTTTTATCTGATGTCATCGGATGGCAATTTGCACTCCCTCTCCCTCCCTTTCTCCCCCCATCCTACCTTCTCCCTCCTTCCTCTCCTTTCTGCCTGTGTGAGAGCCTGTCCCTGTCAATCACTCACTTTTCTCTCCTACTCTCACTTGCTTTTTCTCTTTCAGGCACTCTCTCTCTCTCTCTCTCTCTCTCTTGCGCAAACGTACCAACACACACACACACACACACACACACACACACACTTCCCCTGTGTAGTTGTGCCTACCTCTCCATGGAGGTAAAGGATTTGAGAAATAAACCTGTTGTCTACAGAGAACAGAAAAAAACCTGATCGCAGCACAAAGGCAGCCTTTGTTATCTTAAGTCAGAAGGTATGACAGGGCCGAGCATATGGTCATAATCCTTCAATACCCATCACCTGACCACAAACACACACACACACAGTCTGCTCTCATTCAACCGACAGGTCCCCTGCTGAGCGGTCAAGAGAGTGTGTGTACATACATGTAAAAATGAAACATGTAGTTGTTGTTAAAAGCAATTTTCAACATCACAACCATTTTGTTGGTGCAGACATTGTATATGAACACTGTATCTCTCAGGGTTTTCTGCAAAATAAGGACATCAAAGTTTTTAAAATTAATGAAAAGAAACTTTACCCCTACCCACTCACAGACACACACACACACACACACACACACACACACACAGTCAACCAACAGATCTGCTGCTTAGGGCTTAGTAGAGGTGTGTGATTGTTTTTGTGCTGTGCTTACTGATATATATATATATATATATATATATATATATATATATATATATGAGACTGATATAATACATATTGGGCATGTGTATAAATGCGTATCCTCACATTATTAAAAAAAAACAAACCTGCTTGTGTATCCATGAGGGGCGTCAATCCACTGGGGCAGGTGGGGAGGGGTGGGTTGGTTAGGGTGGGTTTTGGCCCCCTTTTCAGCCGAAAAGGTTTGTGCTGATTTTCATGAAGCAGGCAAACTATAAATCGCCCTGATTACTCCGCACTCTTTTGCTTGACTGGGCCTTTACAATCAGACGGCCCGCTGACAATAAGGCCTGATGAATCAAACATCTACAGCATTAGTTTCACCTAGATGCCTCTTTCCCAGGCAGCCAGAGGCGGAGCGAGCCGCTCTTTTGTCAGACCAGGTTTGATGGGAAAAACTCCTGACACTCGCTGCACCTATTGATAAACAGGCCCGTAATGAGGCCTTCTGCAGAGTGAGCCAACTCGCGCTCCATTAGAGACACAGAGAGGGGGAGAGTGAGAGAGAGAATGACTGTCTCTGTCCCTCTCTTTTTATCAGTAGGTAGATGCCATAATAACACACATATAATAGTTGCCATACAACACTTAATTTCTGAATAAAACTGTTACAGTGCTGTACATGTGAAGAACCACAAAATGCAGGTTCTAAAGCAAATGGTTAATTCTGATATTGCCCATTTTAGGCCACTGTTGCTATTTTAGATGTGTTTTAAACAAATGTTATGCCTTACACTACAAGTCTCTATGATCACTGATCTATTAATCTAGGCAAACATGACACAATGGAGTTGTTTGCCATCCAAACTGAAAATATGTCAACATTAACATAAAACCCTACTCTGCTTGATTGAATAGAAATGTGTGACATAATTCAAATAACTTTGTACAGTTTATTTTTTGAGGAGTTGAAGTCTGGACCCCTATATGGACTCAAATTTAAGTTTAAATTCCCATAATTTGGACATAATACATCCACACTGAATATAAATGAATTCCAAGTGTGTTTGTATCTAGAACCTACAATAATTACAGGTCCACATCCACAGCAATAAGCAATGCAGCAATTCATGAATTAATAAGCATCAAACTAGAAAGTGGTAGGACACTGCTTTGGGACACAAACAGTTCTTGGAGCAGCTAAATAAAGTTTTGGAGGTTGAGTTGGGTAGGGGGGGTGTTGTAGAGGGCAGCGTGGGTTGGGGGGGCTGCACAGAGGGAGGGGAGGAGTGGGCTGAGGTTGAGTGAGCACAATAGTTTAACTCCACTGGACTGTAAACACACTCACAGCGCGTCGGTCCAGCAGGCTTTTCAAACACGTCCGACTTCTATAAAACAATTTCGTTGAATGGCCTTTTATGGCTCACACATTTTTTTTTCTCTCATTCAGTTCAATTCAGTTCAACTTTATTGTCATTATATCAGCTCAGCATAACAAAAATCCTTCTCACTGTTTTCACTGCGTGGTACACACAACAATAAAATGCAACCTCAGAAACATCCGACTTCTATAAAGGAATCAAACGCCTTTCATAGCATTTCACTGGTGAAAAGCTACAACAGTAAGTCTGTGACAAACAGTGTGTAAAATCAATACATACAGTGCAATACTGTGCATAAGGGTGGGTGATATGGTAAAACTATTATGCCAGTTTTTTTTTCATGATATATGACATGCATCATAAGATTGCAGTTTCCAAGTATACAACATTGACCAGCAAAACTTTATAGTAAAAGAAATTATTTAAGAAGAAACAGAAGGGAAAAATGGTAAACTCAATAAAGGTAAAAAAATCAATAAAGTAAAATGATGTCATAATGGGCCGACATCCAATTAGCAACTACTTACTATGCAGTTTATACTGCACTATATGCACAATACAATATACTGACTCTCTAAAATTGGTCTTAATATGTCCTTTTTATGATGCATGCAGTTGTTCATCAGTTGTTAATTGCCAATCTCTGCTAACAGCTAATGCTATCTCTGATTCACCGTTATGTTCTGCGTGGACACTTGAAATGTCCATCAGTTTTGGCTCACACTGGTGCTGTTATCTGATTTGCTAAGGCAAATGACAGACTTTGATCTGAAACGGCCCTCTGCCCCCGCCTCCGAACGTTCTGTCCAGTCTGTCTGGCCAAGGCGGTCACCTGGAGATCGAAGCTTTTTTTCTTTTTTACACTTGCTGGTGACTGGACGTTGAAGAAAGCTTTTACACATTGCTATGCCGGCAAAGAGAGGGTACTGTACGCTCTACAGATCAGTTAAATCTTACAAATGCACAAACATACTCTTCACACACTCTTGCTCCACCTTGTTCACACCCATCGTCTCTATGAGAACTATCATGGCCTGAAAACTCTCTCTCTCCCTTTCTCTTTCCCTGCTTTCTCCCCCTCCCTCTCTCTCTCTCTCTCTCTCTCTCTGAGGATCAGCAGTCTCTCTGGACAATAGACTCAGCAGTGGTCCCCTGATTGCTTCCTTTCACATGGTAATGTGCATCTCTGCTCCTCTCCATGTGCTTTCTTAACTCCCCACAAATTACAGTTTACCAGCCACACAGGAAATAAAGAGAGAAAAAAATCCAGCGCTGCATATTTTTTGCCTTTTTTCTTTTTCTAATTCACCAAGCTGACATGTAGATGTGGCGGTTAAGTGCAGCCCTCTGGGCCTCTGATCATGCCTTAATTGTAGCAGTCAATTGTAGCCAAACGCTCTCTTCAAGCCCTTCTCTCTTACAACAAGCGTCAGGATCAAAGGGGAATCAACTCCCTTCAGTTCGGCCTGTTAAAGAACCAGCCAAATGAAGATGGGATTGGAGAGAGAGAGAGAGAGAGAGAGAGAGAGAGAGAGAGAGAGAGAGCTGCTGACAGATGACAGTGGTTATTTACACTTATATCCAATACTCTTCATTTCTTTTATGAAATACATTTAAAAATGGTATATTTGATGTAGTCCATTACTACTATTGCTTAAAACCCATTACCCATTACAAATTACTAATTACTTCTCTTAAACTGTATTGGAATTACTTTTCTACGTATAAAAGTAACCTAATCGCTCAATACTTTACTTCTATGTTACTCTGTACAAGGGAAAACCCAATATTCAGTAATGCATTTCCAGGCCCCTAAAAGATAGTTATGCTTGATAAAAAAGGACAGCTACCGCAACACTAGCCATCAGAAACAGTTCCAAACCACCTGCTTCGACATAAAATCTTTAATAAACATAATGTATAGCTTACAGGGCTGTTTCTGAATGAAAGCCGTGTCTGGCCTGTTTAGGGGCTCTCTCTTCTCCTCCTCTTCAGCAAGAGGATCTTTATCCATGAGTTTCACATTAGCATGATTAGATGTTTGACAGACTGTGTGTGGAGTTACAGCGTTTCTCACACTTGCACTATATTCCCAATCAAACTAGTGCAGTCTGCTATTGTAGGTACCAAGAGCACATACAAATTAAAAAACAAGCGCAAAAAATCTACATAGAGGAAATTTATGCTTTCAATGCATTCCACGTAATTAATATTGTTCACTTTGAGACATACCGTCGCAGCCGCAACAAAACCTTGTATTGCCATTTTTTTGTTATTTTTTACTTAATTCGAAAACCTTAGTTCCCCAATACATTGTCTTACAACTGTATATTGAGTAGACCACTAGAAATGGTCCACAGTAACTTGAAAAAAAAATGTATCAAATTCTGTTAACAGTTAAGAGCGTTTTCCCTTCTTCTGTTTTTGCTAATTTGGAGGTATGAGATTTTGTTCAGATAGCGACAGTAAGTAATGCAAGTAACATAATTCTTGTCGAGTCAGTAACTGTAATGTCATTGCAAAATTTTGAACTGTAATGCATTACAAGAAAAGGTAATCACATTACAGTAATGACAGCTCTGCTTACTGAAGCCCGTTTCTATACTAAACCATATGGCTTTAATTCTGCATTTTTCTGCTTAGTTATAGACTGTAGTTATAGCAGTTTTATAAAATAAGTTTAGTTATAGCAGTTCTATCAAACTGCAGAGTTTTAGCACAGTCTACTGAGGAGCATATGGTTACCGTGTTAAAACAGAAACATTATGAAGTCAAAAATCACAAATTACTCATAGTCAAATGCTAGCAGGACATACACACTCTGTTCTTACTGAAGCTTGTGTGTAACAGACCGAGAGGGAGGGAGAGAATGAGAGAGGGAGAGAGAGAGAGAGAGAGAGAGAGAGAGAGAGAACATGTGACCGTTATTTCTTAACTTACATAAAATGCTGATGAATGAACACAAAGATCACATTATATTATTCCAAAAAACTGCAAGTTATGTAAGTCACTGTTGTGCTTTATTACCACCATATTATCCTCCTATTTAATTATTACTCTCTGTAGGTCCACATAGACCTCCACCTCTCTCGCCCTCTCTCGCCCCCTGTGGCTACATCCTGCCTGCTTTTATAGTGTCTACACGATCTCACAGAACTGTAATATGTATAATAACAAGCACAGTAACAGCTCTACTAACGATGCTGCCGTTTGAATACAGCGCACTGTATGATCCCATCAAAACAAAAAACTGTCCAGTCATATTCATCAAATGTACTTTATTGATTTGTCTTAACTCTAGCTGGAATGCTAACCCCACACTTGGGCAGAGAGACTCAAGTTAGCGTTATTAATTATATCTCTGCGTTCCTGAGAGAATCCCCTCACACGCACACACACATATATATAGTGGCGTGCTTTAAAAAGACTCATATGCAAATGTGTGTAGAGATTAGAGATACAACAATTATTCCAGCGCTTGATTAATTATTCATCTTAACGGCAGTCAATTATTAATTTCGGCAAGTGATAAGTCATCTGCCCTGAGTCAAAGTTTTCCTGTTTTTTTTTTTTTTCCTGTGCTTACCTTTTTCTAGGCCGGGAGGCTGCGAAGAGAGAGAGAGAGAGAGAGAGAGAGAGAGAGAGAAATCCTGTCAATGTCAGAATTAATTGGGTGTGTTTTCTGCCTCTACTCTTGTGGCTTTGCTTCACAAAGCTGGAACATCAAAATAGTCAAAAATGCTGCTGGTTTTGAGGCTTCCAATCTGGTACTTTCGCATCGCCGGGGACTTGACCTCTTTACAGAGAGAGAGAGAGAGAGAGAGAGAGAGAAAGAGAGAGAGGGAGGGAGGAAGAAGGGAGAAAAGAGTACATCATGAATCCTCTTTTTTCTGAGCATATCGCACGCCTTGATCTGCGTAAATGCAGAGAGTTGGCTGATAATGTGGTCATTCTGTGTTGCGAGTCCCACTCTTGCCTTCTAATAGCGGTGGCATAATAAAATCAATACGTTATTTGATGTGGGCATGTGTAGCTGCGGAATGCCTAATGTGGCCCCGTCGCCAGTTCAGCGGGCTTTCAGATGCACTACGCTGAGCAACATCTGACGCTGGTTTTGATTTGCTGTCTGCCTGGCCTACAGCGAATGTAAACGAAAGCTCGTTTTTATATGTTCGAGAGACTTTGAGATGGTGCGCCGCTCTTTGAGATCACAAACACTCGCTGTGTTCTCTAATTGTCCATCAGTCTGTCATGTTTTTTTTTTCTTTCATTTTTTTTCCCCCTCTCTCTTTTTTATTTGCTATGTGTGCGCGAGTATGTACGGTTTGTGTGGGTGCGTGCTTGTATTTGTAGAGCGCAAATTCTGGCAAGCGGGATATGACAGACTTGGCTCTGGTGAGAAATAGCGCATTCCGGGCTGAGCTTAAGAACAGACACACATACGCACACGGCATCTAGAAATCTCGAATCTGCTCATTCAAATCACCCACTTTACATTTTTGCGTGTGCCTGAGTGTGTCATTCATTAAACAGACTATCAGAATATCATTAATAATTCTTAAAGCATTAGGTATTACTACATGCATAATATGCGCGGCACGGACGTGTATTTGGAGCGCGTTCGGAGCTGTGAACGCTGTCTGCTTTTTTGGCTCATAAGTGATGATGTAAATGCACACGCGCAGGTGATAATTATGCAAATCGAATCGGCGCTTGTATTCCTCGTGCTGTTCTGGCCCAGGCGGTATGTAATGATCCCTCACATTAGCCGTGAGGAAACAGACTGGAGGCCGCGGGAAAGGAAAGAAAAAAAAACTGACGGGTCTAGCTATCAGATCGGATGTGTGCGTGTGCTTTTATCCCTCTAGCTAATTTCTTAATGCCTTTACTGAGTAGCGTGGACATATTTAGCTCTTTAGCCTTTAGTCAATGCGATTACTGTTCTATGATTTATACTGCAGGTCAATACACCTGTATATAGGTAGGCAGAATTTCAATTTAACCCTTTAAACTGCATCTGTTATTGATCAAAAGGCTCTTTAATTGGCAGGTGCGGGCAATGTGGTGATATTCATTGACAAATTGTGTCACACTACTTCACAGTATGCTTTTCTGGGAATATCATGGATATGTTTCATTACAAAGACAGTATAATTGGTACTAAATAATTGGATTTTCTGCAGTGTGGTAAGCAAAACGTTGAATAAAAATCATTGTATTCATAGTTTTTAATAATACTTAAATAAATGTGCCACTACTGGGGCTTTTTTCTGTTCCAACTAATCAAACATCAGAAAAATGTAATATCTCGATGCATACTGTTTATTCTGAAGCTGTCTTGAAGTAGAATGATTATACTTTTGTCATACTGCCAACCTCCACTAGTAACTACCGTAAGCTAATATGACTTATTTAGTACACCCTATAAAAATTGTTCTTCAAGAGTTCTTTAGTAAAGACAATGGCTAAATATAGAACCATGAACATTCAAAGAACAATGTGAATGCATAAATTGTTCCATGCATGGTGAACTGGTTCTTCTCTACGATGGGAAACCTGTAGTATATAGTTCTTTAGCAAACTTTTAAAGAATAGCTCTTTATGGCATTAGATAGTTTTCCGCTTTACAAGTCATAGAACCTTTTTTGGTACTGTATAGAACCTTTTTTGCTAAGAGTGTAACTACTATGAATGATTCAATAACTATAATTATTTTTCAGTAACTATTATGAATGATTTTGCACCCACTATGAATTATTCACTAACTTCAACAAATCATTCATTAACTACTATGAATTATCGAATAACTGCTTGAATTATTTAATAATTACTACAATTAATTATCCAGTAACTACTATGATTAATTCAGTAACTACTACAATACGTTATATATAACTTGTTAATGTAATTTTGAAGAGCTGCCCCACGTACAGCCTTATGGAGTTCAAAGGGTTAAAATGACTCAGCCGCCATAAAGAATGTGTGTGTGTGAGAGGGTGTGTGCATGTGTGTGACAGAAAGAGAGAAAAAGAAGGAGAGAAAACACTCTAAGGATGTTCTCAGAGACAGGAAATAACTTTCTTTCCCCCCCTCTCTCACTCTCTTTCTCTCTCTCTTTATCGCTCGCTCTTTTCCTACCACCTGTGTGTACTCTGCTCCATCCCTGCTGCAGATGTGAGATTTTCTGGGACTTTCTCATGGACTTCCTTTCTCTGCTGGTCGGAGAGCCAAAGGGAGAACAGACACTATGAGAGCACACACACATACACACACAGACAAAGAGACATTAACCTCTGTCTTATAAAACGCACTTCCATATAAACATGTCTACTGCTGCTTTCATTCTTGTTCCACATTACTGAACGTTGTACTGTGTTTGCACAATGCGCATTACAGCTTGACTGGGCATACAGTTTCAGTTATTAAGTTATCGAGTAGATTTAGATTTAACTTCGAGCCCTCATCTGATAATGTAAGATATTTATCTCTTATGTCTTTTGAGAGTATTTATGGACCGTGCAGCCTTAGGCATGGCACATTTAAAACAGTCAAAATAATAATAATAGAGTGAGTTGTGCATACGTTTAATGTGTTTTCTTTATTTCAGCAATGTCTCCACCGTTTGAAAAACTGGAAGAAGAGCAGAAGGGTGAGAAAACTGTTTAGAGGCTGTTTGACAGCGGCAACATGAAGCGCTTACGTGTGACAGAAGTGATATTTGACGGCGCTTGCTCTCGTCTAAATCCTGCATTCACGGAAGTTTTTAAGCTTTGCTGATTTCTTGACATTAAGACTACTGTTTGTTAACTGGACCTACTGAGAGACCAGACACTGCATAATCTGTAAGTTTTGCAGTGTTTTATGTCTTCACCACTTATATCTATGCACACAGAAGCATATTACAATGTTGGGAAATAAATATATTAAGCAAAGATTATTTATAATTATAAAATGTGGTATTAAATGTCTGAAAATGCTATTTATATCACAGATCAGATATATTTTTACAGATATACTAATGATATTGTACAATTAAAATATGATTTATTTGGCTGTCTATATCTTCTTTTGATATTCTAAAGATAACTATTATTTACGACCTTAACTGAATCAAATACAGTAAGAGGGGGACGCAAATATGAATGGCTTGCTGACTATTATGCCAAAAATATTTGCATCGTGAACAGATGTGATAGGAAAAATAACAAAGATAAACACACACACAGACACACACACACACACACACACACACAGACATACACACACAAGAGAGTTTTTAGAGGGAGGGCACTGAAGGCTGTCCTGTTTCCTCTCTTTAACCCGGAGGAGCTGCTGAGGTTGGAGGCTACAAGCTGTAAGGCCGCTTCACCCTGTATATAATATTCACCCGAATAACAAGAGCGGAGCAATGATCAGGCTGACAGCATGCGCACGGAGCAGAGAGAGAGAGAGAGAGAGAGAGAGAGAGAGAGAGAGAGAGAGAGAGAGTGAGAAGAAAGACAGAAAACAGAAAAACAAGGAGAGAAAAACTAATCTCAACTTGACATTTAGCACATGACCATCTCCATACCAATGAAACAACCAATGCAAATAAATAACTGTAAGTGAAAAGTGAGAGCGAGAGAGAGCAGTACCTCTTTAAATCCAGCAGAAATACTTTGCCTTGGTGTGAATTAAAGCCTAATGATATGCATGTAATCCAGTACTTGCAGGAAGGGGAGATGCTTTCTGAGGATCCTCCAGTAGTGAAGACTCCGCTGCTCCACCGGGACTGCAGTGCCTGAGAGATGAAACAGTCAAACCTCTCATTCATTATAAATTCATTATAAAATACAGAAAACTTTATAATATGTATTTAGAAATGTGTTTTGAAATGTACAGTTAAAAAGTAAAGCCACAGAATACACAGTGCTAGCAGAATATGACTAATTAAAATAGAAAATTAATTGCATTCATAAGCAAAAAGAACTGAAAGTAGATACCACTATCATTATTACAATAAAACAATCAAACAAATACAAATAAACTATAATAATAATAATAATAATAATAATAATAATAATAATGATAATAATAATAATAATTCGTACCTATGTGAAGGTCTACGTCCTGGTCCCCTTAAGTGGCGCTCCCCCTCCCGCAGCTGCCGCCTCCACAGCTCCAGATGTTGAGGATGTTGAGGCACCTTTTCCCGCCTGCGCTCCGGTCTGATTGGCTTTGAACAAAAGCATCAACTGATTCTGCAGCCCCGGAGCCCCCCACCACAAAATACACCCCCAAAACAGCCCCCCAACACCCCCTAAACCTCCACCCCCCAGCCCCCCGGACTGATGATTTAATTATCCGTCCGGTAGATGAGAACGGAGGGAGCTCTGCTTTATTCACCCCGCCAGTCCCATCCTCTCAGAAAAGGTGGGGCTTCGGTCGGAATTTGAGCAGAGTGGAGAATAAATAAATAAACACATAAACAAATAAACAAAAAGAAACGCTTTCCTGTTAATCACCACGCCTTACAACGCGCGCGCGGCCGCTAAAAGGTGAACATGGCCCCACTATGTCGCCTTAAAGTGCTCTAAATTCACATAAATGTGGCAAAAGTGTGGCTAAAACGTCAAAACACGACCTAACACCTTTAAAAGTACGACCAGAAACTTAGTCTTTCACTTTTAGCCGGATTATAATAGAGATTTGCGTCAGTTTAGGCTATTTTTATTTATTAATTTTTCCTTACCTGTCAGCAAGCTAGGCTACCTTCCCTTTAAGAACGCGGAGAGCGGCGCGAGCTCGAGTTCTGGCGGGAAATCTGCGCCGTTTCTGAGGCGACCAGTTAAAGTCTGTGAGGAAAACTCGCTAGCATAACCACCGAGCAAACAACCGAAAAACGGGTTGAAATACGCACCGGGCGAGCGGAGTCTGCTCTTTTTTCCACTCCATCCCGATTTTGAAGCTCTGAACTGTCACCAGCTGCGATTCCGTCATGTTTTTGTGCGTTTTTAAGTCGTTCGTTTTGCGAAGAGGCTGAGGCAGTCCCAACTTTCTCTCTCCTCACATTAGCTTAGCTGTTTACTTAGCGTTTCGGTCGCCATTTCGTATCCTTTCGCCTCGTAAAAGACAGCGAGAGAGGGAGAAACGGGAGGAGGGGGGAAAGAGAAAAGAAAGCAGGGAAAAAGTTCTCACGGTTCCCTGAAGATGCTCACGTTTGGTCCTCCTCAATTATCCCTCCCCGTGAAGATAGGTGGCGCGTGTTTCAGCCTATCTCTCTCTTTCTCTGTCTCTCTGTCTCTCTCTCCTCTGCTCTGTGTTACAGCAAAGAAAAGGAGAGAGAGAGAGAGAGAGAGAGAGAGAGAGAGAGAGAGAGAGAGAGAGAGAGAAGAAAAAAATGTCATTAGAAGAGGCGTAACACGTCAGTCCGTCCGCAGGTTGGTTTCCTGGAGTGGCTGAAAGGGATCAGTCCCAACCTGCGCGCCAGGAATAACGCTGCTCCAGCTACAGCCGGGCTTTTTACCCTTTTTTACCACATTTACCCCACGGATCCGCTTCTTCACCCCCCTCTCCGAAAGCTCCGCCACGGCTCCTCTACAAACTGCCCCCTTTTTTTTCTTTCTTCTTTTTTTTATTCGTTACGACCAGCTCGACAAAGATAGAAACGTAAACAACAAGGTAGGTGACTTGTTCTCTTCTGTTATTGAGCACAGCTCTTATAATGACAGTCCCGGACAGGGCGCAGAATGTAATATCTGTACATTTACCTCACTGTTTCATTGATGTGGTGAAGTGGAGGGTGTGACGTGCACTCACCTTTAAGTTCACCTGGACAGGTGAAAGGTGTGCGTGCATTTTGAATGGGAGTTAAAGAAGAGCTAAAAAAGGGAGGTTTTAATCACACCTGAATTAAAGTACTAGTCAAACTAATCATTTTCGTATAATTTTCACATTATCACGACTTTAGCAAAAATAAATAAAAAAAGTGTATATGTATATATTTCCCCCCCTTCTACTTTTGCCAAATTCCGTTTTTAAAGAGCATCGCTTTTAAGTTTTCCCTTTGCTTTTAGCCTAGCAAATAATTTTTATGGATATATTTAAAGTATGATTAACAGCACATATCAGGAGACAGTAGTATAGGCTCGCGCCGTGTGTTATCTTTCTAATCTCGAATCTCTCCAATATAATTTTCATTCTTATTTTTCCCAACACTTATAGCACTCAGTAGCATTTTCGTGAATATTTACACCATCAAAAGCTGATGATGATGATAAATGTGTTGATGATGATGATGGTGGTGTTCTCAATGAAAGTTTTAGCCGTGCTCCAAAAATGAAACGAGGCCACAGAAAAGAGAAAATAAGTGAGGCGAAACAATCAAAATAAGCAAAATGTGGAATTTAAATTAACAAATAAAATAATAATAATAACAACAACAATTATAACAATGAAGATAACAGTAATAACACGTGTAATAAACCTAAAATCAAACTGTTCTTATCTTTTTAAACGACTTTTGCCATTTTTTATTAATTCTACAGCCTGAATCTTTTAATCAGTGCTCACTTTTGCATTTACGTTGTTCATATCTCGCGATAAACGGGTTTATTTATCCACCTAGCGGATTTTGCGTGGACAGTCTAAATTAGTCCATTTCAGTCTCAGTCCTAAAGCAGTCCAGGCTTCTAAGCAGCGCCGAGCTGCCGCTTTAAGAGCTCCTGTTGACCAAGCTTAGTGGTGTGAACACACTTTTTTCTCTCGTTTTATTTTTGCGTGCAACAGTTTGGCTTTAAGCTCAGAAGCAGCCCCGGCTCTAGGCTCGAGAGCAGAGTGCCCACGCGCGTTTGTGCGTTTTTAGTACATTTTAAGCGTTTCTACATTACAGCCGTGTCCCATTGAAACCAGTCTCCATCCGAACGCCTCCCAGTGTTTCCCCCCGCAGTCACACTCACCCAACGTTTGGGGCAGTTTCAGCCTCCAACGCCCCCTTTATTTCTAGGTTGCACCTCCATTCGGGGGGTTTGTGATCTCTGGTACGGATGGTCCAACCTGCGCCCTGGTGTGTGTGTATGTATGTGTGTAAGGGTGTATGTGTGTGTTAAAGAGAGCAGCGCCTGCATTGTTGCTGTGTGTGTGTTTGGTTTTGTCAGACACTGAGGCTGCGCGCTGCTGCTGACTGACTGACTGACTGAAGGAGTCGCGTCCATGCGAGCTGCTGCCATCTGATCCAGACACACACACACTCACACACACACACACACGCACACACACACTCCCCATCAATGAGGCAGCAGATCATGGCGGATGGGCCCCGGTGTAAGCGGCGAAAACAAGCCAACCCGAGGAGGAAAAACGGTAAGGAACCAACGCTGAAAATGATCCTAACGGGAGAAATCCCAGTAGCGGTGGAAGTAGAATGGAGGGAGCGGTGCTTGTGGAAGTGCTGGAGGGAGGAGGGGGGTGAAGCTCTGGCTCTGGCTGACGGGACGCACGTCGCGTGATACCGTTATTTTCATTCCCTTTTATCTCCTCCTCATTGTGAGCTAAAATAAAAGCGTGTCGGAGCAGAAACGAAGCAAAACTGGTGTCAGGGCTTCTTTTCTGTTTTGTTATTTTTTTCTTTCCTGGGGTTTGATTTTTTTTTGCCGTGGCTCCGCGTGCTTTCGCTGTTGGAAGTTGGAGCGAGTTGAGGAGAGGAAAAGTTTTGCAGCTCGCCGTCTATTTCCCACTATAGAATAAAAAAAATCCAGTCCGGCAGTTCGAGGCTGTTATCGAAGTTAGGCTCGTTCTTTTTGTCAGCTTTCCTTGGCACTGTTTTTTTGTAGTTTGGGGTTTGCAGCTCGTTCTTTCAATAGGCTACGTTTAATAGGGCTTAATCATTTCATTCATTGGCGATCGCTTCGTTTTGGCTTTGTTGAGGCTCTTATTAAAAAAGAAAAGACATAAAGCTCAAAAACGGCGATGAGCTGAAACAGCGGTCAGGTGGTGGCCGTAGGAAACAAAACATTCCGTCGCTGTTGTGTCATTTTGGGCGAGTGACCTGTACCACAGATTTATTTATTTGTTTGTTTTTTTAATGCGATTGTGCTTTGCAGAGCTGTCTTTTTTCTCTCTCTTTTTTTCTAAAAGAGTTCACTGCGAATGTGATCTCGGCACGGACAGTCCGTAGTTTGGTTTGTTGTGGAAATTGTATAAAGTCGCTGTCTAACTGTATAATGGCCGATAAGCAAACGCTGCGGAGGGTGGATCAGCTCGCCGCTGTGTGTTAGTTTTTTAATTCCGCTCTTTCACGGGGATTAAATACCCCAGAAAGGCGCTCGGTTGCCTCGGCACTCCGCCACTCTTTTTCCCGGGATGGCATTTTTTTCTCTCCTGCTTCCCCTCTATCGTTCCCCCCTCCTCCCTTTTTTCTTTATTAAACGTTTTGTATTGATCCACTAAAATCAATGGCAGTAGTTGTTGAGGGGTCTTTTGCTTCTCGGCTGACAACACGTCTAAAGAAAAGACACCCCCGTTTGTAAGTGTTTGCTCCCAAATCATGGACGAGAAACAAACATGAAGTGTTATTTTTGCTGCATGGTCACAAGTCACTGGACTGCAGCCCTTTTGGCTCTGAAACCAACAGAGAGCCTTTGAGTAAATAATGTGGCTGATGTGACATTACTGCTGGAGTGCATTAATGATAAAATAAAATGCCTCCCTCCTTTACAGTTGTGCTTGAGATGCTGTAAGTCTTTTGTGTGGTCTTTTGTTGACCTCCTTTATACATTTTAAAGTAGGGAACTGATGCAAGGATGTGTCACTAGGTCTAAGCAAACAGGGGCTGTTTTATTATGATTTTTCTTTATTATCTTGCTCTCTTTTTTCCGGCATGCCCTGCCATGCCTGCCTCTGTGGGGAGCGCCTCGGTTTATCTGTGCTGAGTGTGTATTTCTCTCTCCCCCGGTCTGGTAGAATAGGGCTGAGCTCCGCTCTGGACCCGTCTGATAACTCTTCATATGATGATAGTTATCAGGGTGATAGTGAGAGTCTAACTGAATTGTGTAATGTTGGCTGATGATTTGTGCTGGAGGTGTGCTGTATGGCTTGAACTCTGTGCAGTGGTGGAAAATTGAAAAAAAAAAAAAGTGTTTCAAATTAAGGGCGAAAATTAAATATGTTAAATATGCAGTCTTTTTGGTGAAGGGTAGCAAAAATGACAGATTAGTACTGTAGTGATGATTATAAGTCACAGACTGTTGATTTAACCTTGCATTCAGCATTAGAGATAGTTTCAGTCCTGGCTCTGTTTAATACACCTGTACCAGGTAGATGAGCCCATACCTCGGGATTTTATATATTATTAATTTCAAAACGGTGAGCAAAGCGGCACAGTTTGTTTTATCTGTGAAAAAAGGACCAATTTTATCACATTCCCTAGTGGGGGGAAAAATGAGGGCTTGAAAAAGTCTAGTTAAGATGAGCAAAATTTTCTCTGAGGCTTTTTCCCATTGTCTCACACCGAAGCACACATGGCTAATGCACATTTTCTCTGGAGCCAGAGGAAATCAGATTTATTGGGCAGGTTGCGGACATCTCTGTGTCCAGATTAAGTGTACGCAACTCTCTCTTGAGCGGCCCATCTCACAGCTGTACAGTAAGCTCTGCCGCTGTGACACACGCACACTCTAAACTTATATTTCATAACATGCTGGAACTGTCCATCGACTCCAGCTAGATCTCTCTCTCTCTCTCTCTCTCTCTCTCTCTCTCTATTCTTTCCCTCATGTGCAGACGATAGGGTCAGAGTCAAGACTGTGGAATCTGATCTCTGCTGCCATACAAGATTGGAGATACAGCAGCTTTGGACTCTCTCTCTCTCTCTCTCTCTCTCTCTCTCTCTCTCTCTCTCCTGGTGTTACAGCCTTGGCCAGCTGTGAGCATTCGTTCACTTTGCTTTGTATATGTGAGTGAATGAGTGTGTGTTTAGTAATTCAAAGCCATGTCCTGTAGCCTGTATCCAGTAAAATGGGCTTCATTTGATGCCTCTACACCTTTTGTTTTGGTCTAAATTTCTCACTGAGTGAAAACTAGAGAGAAGCAAGCAGGAAAGATAACCTAAACGCATAGTGACAGTGTGAATCTAGTTTAGGTGTATGTGTGGATATTACAAGTTATGAGTAAAGTTACTTTATTTCATGAGCTCGCTGTGATTTCGTTAGCAAAGGATGTCGGGGGAAACCTTTCGCGATCTTGAAATGGAGTACAGAAACATAAGCCCATACATTGTCGCAGGGCGCTTCATGGAAAGCTTAAATGTGCTAAACTTCCTCCCGTATGTGACGCTGAAGTTGTCCTACAATGTGCAGTTCTGCGTGTTTCCTGTAACACAAAGCCCTATTCATTTTCAATCATCAGTATCCTATTCAACATGTTTTAAGATGCTCCCACTAGAATATATTGATTATTTCATTTTGTGGAAAAAAAATAAGTCCCAGTGTTTATACACCATAAAGCCACACGTTTAGATTTTGTAACACTTTTAAACACTTGTTTAGTTTAGCGGTTGTCCTGGTTGAGAACAAATTGAAGAAAGCTTGGCCAAAGCATCATCACTTATTTTCAAAAATAATTTTAAGCACTAATGTTTGGATTATAAACATGTCCATAGCTTTACAGTGTATAGCTAGAAGAGTCTAATACTAACCAGTTTTTGATTGTAGTATATTCATCCACATAATATATTCAGACTGAAGGTGGGGTTTGGTGTGCGTGCATGCATGTGTGTTGTGGGGTGCCGTTCTTTAGCCGCAGACCTTCTTTCAGCCCAAACAATGGCTGATTCCCCCTTGTCTAAACACTTTTTCTGTCTCCATTATGCTCTTTTAAGGTGCTTTCTCTTCCCCCACCTCCAAAGAAAAGAGGTCCGCTCTTCTTTTCCGTGACCCCAGCTCTACCATCCCCTCCGTAGGTAGGCGGCGTGGCAGCGCTGGCTGGGAGGGAATGGGGCCGCTCTCACACACAGCTGACTGTCAGAGCTAATGTGTTTCATTTACATGTTTATAACGTGAATAGCGCCAGCTCGCACCGCCGATCGCCCAGACGCGGACACTTTCCGCGCACAAAAAAGCACACGATTGTCTCAAATGCGGCACAGCAGACACATGCCCCCCCGCCCGCTCTCTCTCTCACTCTCTCTCCCTCTCTATCTCTCTCTCTCTGTCTCTCTCTCTTTCTTTTTTTCTGATGGCTTTCTCACTTGGACTAGAAAAAAAAGCTGGCGGAGGAGCTCTCTGCCGTGCATTGGTGTTTAGAGACGGATTATTTTGTTTAAGCAAGTGAAATAATTACAGCAGATCGAATGTGCCAGGGAGGAATAATCTCACGACAGCAGCATGGAAGGGTGCAGTGGATCGCAGGAAACAGCAGGGTCCTCGTGTCTCTGCTGCAGTGTCAGAGCAGGACAGGGTCAAAACATTTTATACCCACTTTGTGGCAGGTTTTTGACCAACTTCATTTTAATCTTTTATGTATTTTTTATTCATTGAATATTTTTTATACATAGTTTGAGGTTGTATATAAGAGAAATAAATGATTTTGATCTCATCTTACAGACTCAGTAAGAGTTAATATCCTGAATCTTTTTTTAGTCAATAGTAATAATTGATTTTTATAAAGTAGTCAAAGTTGGCACTTTTTATTAATTCACTAAGATACAGATATCCTGATCTTGCCTCCTCATTGAGAACTGTGTTTTGATAATGAATCATTAGATATCAAGATATGAGTTAGAAGATGTGAGCTGACAGTAATAGATGAAAGTAGTATATGAGCTGACCATGTTTTTTTTTTTTTTAACCTTTTACGTCCTTCCAGAGATAACACAACATCCCAGCTGCAGTTATTATCTTATATCATCATACATCACAACCAGAAATTGGAATAAATGCAGTTAAATGCATTTAGAACGCTCTGCTTTTCCCTAGAATATTTCATTTTTTCCCTCTCATTTTATTAGTAATTATTTTTTATATATTTCATTTTTTTTATGGTCCCCCTTCTCCTCTCGCCTGTAAAGATATTTTCTCCTGGTGGGGGGGTATATATATATATGTGTGTGCGTGTGTGGGGTGGGACACACACAGAGTGGGCA